AACCTAAGGAGCTATAACTGATTAAAAATAGGTCTGATTTTAGCATAATTTCACTGTAAACAGCACAAATTCGCGCAAAGATACCTATGTTTGATGCGCACGTACGGTATTGCTATTGGCCAAAAGATGACCGAAAAGAATGGAAGTTTGAGAAAACAATGTCAGGAACCCAAACTATGTGAAAAAAACAGTGTCTAGCTTCCGTACGTGCTGCGCTAGCCAAAATGCGCGCGCGTAGTGGAAAATCTAAAAAATATTTGAAATGCTCAAAATGGCCTGAAACGTGCTCTAATTTAATTAAAAAGTGATTTCGAGCATTTTAAAATTTTGACGCACGCGTGCGCGCGCATTATGAAGCGCACACGTAAAATTAGGATACAGTACATTCAAAATTAACCCGAAGTTAATGCTCACTTAATACGATTTCGAAATGGCAATTGGTTAGGCTGATATGATCGATAATGTAAAAACGCAAAATTGCGCGTAGATGACGTCACGCAAAACTGAGCGCGTTGAAAAGCTTACCATGTCTATTCCAGACCAAACCAAATGTTCGCTGACAGCGATTGTGCGTAATTTGTGGCATTTTTTCGAGATATCGTGCGAACAGAAAAAGGGAGAAAGAAAGAAGAATAAGAAAAACTAGATTTGAACTCGTCACTGAGGACGAGTTAGGTGATCCGCTGCACTTTGACCCTCATTAAGATCACGCGGTGCTGATTAAAAAGTGTCATAATATGCTAAAATATGCTGTAATTAGTTTTGTTAAAAAAGAATAATTTTGAGCATTTTAAAAGATTTTCGCATGTGTACACGTACGTCTTGACACCCGTGAGTACAGTAATAGCACAAAGAGTGACTCCTGATATGAATAATGTGTCAGCAACCCAAAGTATGTAACAAAACGTGATTTCCAGCTTTAATATGTGCTGTGTGCGTGGAAATGAACGTACGGCGGGTAAATTATGAAAAGTTTTGAAATGCTGAAAATGACCCGAAACGTTCTTTAAACTATCTGAATAGTAATATGGAGAATTTTCAAATTTTAACAGACACGCACGTCACTATGTGTGCGTGTACAGTAATAGCACACGAAATTAAACATTGTCAAGTGTATTTAAAACAGCCTGTTAGTTGGTAATGCCACACTAACATAACCTATATATATTAGTCTGATAGTGTCGAAATACAGTCTGCCGCCCTCACTCTGTTCTATTCTTTTACATCTTTTAAGAATGAGAGATAAAAGGGCTCCAAAAATTCATTCTTTTTGACCATGTTGACGTAATCAAAATGAAAAATAAAGGGACACGTCTTCAAGAGAAAAGAGAATTGATTTTAGCTATAACATACTCACAGGTGGGACACAATCAATCAAGAATAAGCGAGATACGTTCAAACGAGTATAAACTCGTTTGATAAAAATTCATCATAAATAAAAATTCAGTTTTTTAATTCAAATGCCAATATGATTACGTAACAATGTCCGATCAGCCATTATGAAGTAAAAAATCGTATCTACAACTCATGTGCTTTCAGATTATGTAATAAAAATTGGGGGTCACCTTTCATCCCAAGGAGCTATAACTGATTAAAAATATTCATGGTTTTATGCATATATAAATGTTGACGCACGCGTACGTGCACGCTAAAAGGACGCGAAAAGAAAATTAAGGTATATAACATTCAACCTTGACCTGAAGCTTATGCTCACCTAATATGATTTAGAAATGACGAATGGTTAAGATTATATGGGGTCATCAACGTTTTGAAGAAAGAGAAATGAAGGGGTCAGAAAAAACATTTTTTTTGACCATGATGACGTCATCAAAATAAAAAATAAA